ACAGGAGCGAAGTGTTCAGTTGTTCTATGGATTTGTCTGCTCCAGTTATAATCACAGATTTGTCTGTTTCTCCTTTCAGTTCATTAATTTTTATTTCATGTATTTTGATGGTCTTTTTAAGGTGCATACACGTTTATAATTTCTTTGTAAATTGGCTCTTCCATGGTTCTGTATTTCTTTTTATCTCCAGTGATTTTCTTTGCCCTGAAGTCAGCACTGTCAGATATTATAATAGATGCTCCAGCTTTCCTTTTGTTAATATTTGCATGGTATACTTTTTCCCCATTTCTTTTAACCTACATAATAATAATATTATTATTGTTATTATTTTCAGTGGTATTTAGTATATTCACTTTAACCTACATATTATTTTTGAAGTGAGTTTCTTATAGAATCATATTTATCCTGCTAATCTCTGTCTTTTCAGCGGCATGTTTATGCCATTTATACTTAAGGTAATTACAGGTAAGTTTGGATTCAGGTCAACCATTGTATTATTTGTTTTATGTTTGTCCCTTTATTTTTGTTCTTCTGTTTCTTTCTGCCTACTTTTGGATTATCTTAACATGTTTTGGTATTCCACTTTTTTTTTTGCTTTTCGTGGTATCTCTTTGTGTAGTTTTTAAAGCGATTGCTCTAGGACTTACAATATATCTCCTTTGTACCATCTACTTAGAATTCTTACATTAAATATTAACTATGTTATATAAATATTATATAATATGAATATTACATTACCTGAAATAATGCAGAAACCTAACCACCATCATGAGTCCCTTTACCATTCTACTTTTTTTTTTTTTGAGACGGAGATTTGCTCTTGTCGCCCAGGCTGGAGTGCAATGGCGCAATCTCGGCTCACCACAACCTCAGCCTTCCAGGTTCAAGCGATTCTCCTGCCTCAGCCTCTTGAGTAGCTGGGATTACAGGCATGTGTCACCACACCTGGCTAATTTTGTATTTTTAGTAGAGACAGGGTTTCTCCGTATTGGTCAGGCTGGTCTCGAGCTCCCGACCTCAGGTGTTCCGCCCGCCTCGGCCTTACGAAGTGCTGGGATTACAGTTGTGATCCACCGTGCCTGGCTGTTTTCTAGTTATTTTTATTTTTTTTTTCTGTTTAATTTTCAGCAGTTTGATTATGATATGTTTAAGAGTTTTGTGTGTGTGTGTGCGCATGCCTATTGTATTCAGTCAGCTTCATCAATCTGTTGTTTTATGTCCTTCACAAAATTTGTGAAGTTTTAGCCATTTTTAATATTTTTTCTATCCTAAACTGTTACCTCTTCTTTTATGACTCTAATGACACAAATATTAGAATTTTTAGTATTGTCCCACTAGTCCCTGGGGTCTATATTCGTTTATAAGAATCTTTTATCTTCAGACTGTGTAATTTCTATAGATCTGTCTTCCAGTTTACTGACTCTTTACTCTGACACTGCCATTTTTCTATTGACCCCATCCAGTGAAATTTTAAAATTTCAGTTACTGTATTTTTCACTTCTAAATTATTTATTTATTTATTTATTTTTATTTTATTTATTTTTATTTTTTGAGATGGCGTCTCACTCTGTCGCCCAGGCTGGAGTACAGTGGCACCATCTCAGCTCATTGCAACCTCCACCTCCTGGATTCAAGCGATTTTCCTGCTTCAGCTTCCTGAGTAGCTGGGATTACAGGCACCTACTACCACGCCCAGCTAATTTTTTTTTTTTTTTTTGAGACGGAGTCTCACTCTGTCACCCGGGCTAGGGTGCAGTGGCCGGATCTCAGCTCACTGCACCCTCTGCCTCCCGGGTTTACGCCATTCTCCTGCCTCAGCCTCCCGAGCCCGCCACCTCGCCCGGCTAGTTTTTTGTATTTTTTTAGTAGAGACGGGGTTTCACCGTGTTAGCCAGGATGGTCTCGATCTCCTGACCTCGTGATCCGCCCGTCCCGGCCTCCCAAAGTGCTGGGATTACAGGCTTGAGCCACCGCGCCCGCCTAATTTTTGTATTTTTAGTAGAGATGGGGTTTCACCACGTTGGCCAGGCTGGTCTCGAACTCTTGACCTTGTGATCTGCCTGCCTCAGCCTCCCAAAGTGCTAGTATTACAGGCGTGAGCCACCATGCCTGGCTTAAATTTTTAATTTCTTTCTTTATGTCTCTTATTTCTTTACTGAGACTTTATATCTTTTTATTCATTTCTAGGGTGTTCACCTTTATTTCTTGTAGCATTTTTGCCTGATAAATCCTAAATCTGTGTCATCTTGGCGTTTGTATCTATTGATTGCACTTTCATATATAAATTGAGATATTCTTGGTTCTTTGTGTGCTTGGTAATTTTGAATTGTGTGCCCAACATTAAAAGATTTTTTTTTTTTTTTTTTTAAATTTGAGTCTTATTTAAAATCTGTGGAGAATGTTGATTTTTTTTTTTTGAGATGGAGTCTCGTTCTGTCACCCAGGCTGGAATGCAGTGGCACAATCTCGGCTCACTGCAACCTTTGCCTCCCGGATTCAAGCCATTCTCCTGCCTCAGCCTCCTGCGTAGCTGGGGCTACAGGCGCCCACCACCACACCTGGCCTAATTTTTGCATTTTTAGTAGAGACAGGGTCTTGCCATGTTGCCCAGGCTGGTCTCGAACTCCTGACCTCAAGAGATCCACCTGTCTCGGCCTCCCAAAGTGTTGGGATTACAGGTGTGAGCCACCATGCCCAGCTGAAGTAATTATTTTCTGTGTGACTGTGGCACAAACTCAGTATGCAATGGATGCAATGGGTTATTGTTTTAAAATTCTTTTATTTCCATAGGTTTTTGGGGAACAGATTGCAGTAGATTATTGGTTTCAGTTGGTTTTGAGTTGTCCTTTATTTTTAGTGTTTTTAAAATTTTTGTCTTTTGTTTTGAACATGCCATCATTCGTTTTCTGAACAAAATGCTAAATTTATTGTGCGATATACAAAGGAGAGCCATAACTGTAGGACATAATTTCTCTCAATGAAACAAACTGCCCAACCAGGTGCAGTGGTTCATGCTTATGATCCCACCATTTTGGGAGGCTGAGGTAGGAGGATCACTGGAGGCCATGAGTCTGAGACCAGCCTGGACAACATAGTGAGACCCTGTCTATTAAAAATAAACAAACAAACAATGTTATCCAGGTATGGTAGTGCGCTCCTGTAGTCCCAGCTCCTTGGGAGGCTGAGATGGGAAGATTGCTTGAGCCCAGGAGTTCAAGGAGCTGTGATTGCACGACTGCACTCCAACCTGGGTGACAGAGCAAGACTTTGTTTTAAAAGAAAAAAGAAAAGAAAAGAAACTGCTGGTCTTAAATAGGATTTGAGGAATTACGGAGCTCAGGGATTGGTGAAGTAGGAGTATTTAGGAATTGATTGACCTTTTATTATGTAAATGTGGTTATGAATTGTGGTGTTGCTGACTGGTGACTTGCTGAAGTGATATCACTCATTCAGAACTCCCTTTGATGGGTGTAGGATGGGTTTAACACCAGTTCTGGTGATTACTTGTTGTTATGGTCCTTTCTGGAATTTGGAGTTTAGAACTTTTTTTTTTATCATAACGTAAAACATTTACATGGTTCCAGAATCAAAACTATATCACAAGATGCATTCACGGAAGTCTGGCTTTCTTCCTTGTCCCTTCCATCCTTTTTTTCTTTCTTTTTTGAGACAGGATCTTATTCTGTCACCCAGGCTGGAGGGCAGTGGCACCTTCATGGCTCACTGCAATCCCAGCCTTCCAAGCTCAAGTGATCCTCCCTGCTCAGACTCCTGAGTAGCTGGGACTACGAGTACGTGCAAGCATGTCTGGCTAATTTTTAAATTTGTTGTAGAGATGGGATCTCCCTGTGTTGCCCAGGCTGGTCCCAAACTCCAGGGCTCAAGCATCCCTCTTGCCTCAGCCTCCCAAGATGCTGAGATTACAGGTGTGAGCTACCACACCTGGCCTTTTGTTTTGCTTTCTATTGAGTAAAGGTTGAAACAGTCTGCAGGCCAAATTTGGCCCACATTTTTTTTTTTTGTAAATAAGATTTTGTTGGAGCACAGCCATACTCATTCGTTTACATAATTGTGTGTGGCTTTTGTGCTACAGTGGCAGAATCGAGTAACTATAACAGAGAATACAGTATGTGGCCTAGAGACTAAAATATTTACTTTCCAGACCTGTTTTGAAAAAATTTGCTGACTTCTGCTACAAAGAATCATTTTCATTAAGTTTTAGCTTATCTCTCCTTCTTTTCCTTTCTTTCTAAAAAAAAAAAAGCAGATACTTAAATATACTCAACATTTATCTCCTTTTTCTGCAAAGTATAGCATACTATAAACTCTTTACTGTCTTGCCTTTTTTCACTAAACAATGTATCTTGAAAGTCACTCTGTATCAGTATCGTTTTCATTCCTGGACTAGGTTACAGTTTTCATCTCCTTTAGGCTGTATTTTTCTGCTATATCTTCATTTCCTACAGGTATGCTGTTCATCTTATTAATATCCTCTTTTTCTTAGAATGTCGTTGTATCAGGTTTGGTCAACAACCCTTTTCTTTGTTAGTATTTATTTCCTATGCATTTTAAGTGCATTTTGTAACATTAAAATATTAGCTATAATGTTAGTAAGCTCTAAGTTACAAACTATAAGCAGTTGTAAATTAGGTACTGTGTCTTTTCAGCAGTATATTGTACTCAGGATAGTCATCTACCTAGTTTAAGTGCCATGACATCATGCTTGCCCTATAATCTAACAATCTCAGTTATTATAAATAATACCTGTGTTTTAACAGTGTCTTTGTAACGCCTAACTATTTCACTGGGCATCTGTAATGGAAAGATATGTGGTTTTAAAAAATATGCATTAAACATTTCTGGGTCTTTTTCCCCTTCTTCCCAACAAAGTAGCCAAACTAATGTATAGTATTAGTAGTGCTTACTGATGTTGGAATGTCATTTGTGTTGATTAGTTAACCCTAATATACTGCTACTATTTTTTGTTATTGTTGTTTTAGGTTAAATGGAAACCACCCTTGAGAACTGGATGCCTGTGTAACTGTTCTACCATAGTCAGTGTATTGCAATGAGCGGGGGAGGAGAGCAGCCGGATATCCTGAGTGTTGGAATTCTAGTGAAAGAAAGATGGAAAGTGGTGAGTGTACATCTCAGAATGTGTGTGTGTGTGTGTGTGTGTGTATACATATCGGGGTAATTTTTGGTATCCTGATAAAAATAGCATGTCATTAGGAAATATTATATACATTACTTATATGCCTAAAGCAGTTATTTACACTTATTTTTCTATGATTAAGCTCTGTTTATACCCTAATTCTTACTCTTGCTTCATATAGTACTAAATTTTTGAACAAATGAAAAAAATACAGTGTTTGAAATTACAATGAGCTGGCCGGGCACGGTGGCTCACGCCTGTAATCCCAGCACTTAGGGAGGCCGAGGCGGGCCGATCATGAGGTCAGGAGATCGAGGCCATCCTGGCTAACACGGTGAAACCCCATCTCTACTAAAAAAAAAATACAAACAATTAGCCGGGCATGGTGTGGGTGCCTCTAGTCCCGGCTACTCAGGAGGCTGAGGCAGGAGAATGGTGTGAACCCGGGAGGCGGAGCTTGCAGTGAGCTGAGATTGCGCCACTGCACTCCAGCCTGGGCGACAGAGCGAGACTCCATCTCAAAAAAAAAAAAAAAAAAAGCAAGTCCAATGAGCTGCTCTTTTTTTTTTTTTTATTAAGGAAAATTGTAAGTATACATAGAAAATAGAGACTTATATAATGAACCTCCATGTACTCATGACCCAAGTTAAATAGTCATCAGTGTATGATTAATCTTGTTTCATCTCTCTCCCAGAATATTTTGAAGTGATATTTAACCTTAGCATTTCTTCTGTGTATACTTCAGTATGTATCTCTAACAAGTAAGGACTTACTTTTAAAAACATAATCGTAATACCATTATCATACCTTAAAAATAATCATTTCTTTCCTGCTGACTCCTCCCCCAAGGTTGTGTGTCATTTTGTCTGTTAGCATGTGGTATTTTCAGCGACTTTCTACTGTTATAAAATACTGTAGTAGTACTAGAAACAGGTAATCATTTCTTAATATCACCAAATATAGTTTTAGTTTTCACATTCTCCTGATTGTAAAGTATTTTCAACAGTCTGAATCAAGATCCAAATAAAATCTGGATATTGTAATTAGTTGCCATCACTTAAGTTTCTTTTCATTTCTAGGTTCCTTCCTCTTTATTGTTCTTTTTTTCCCCTTACAATTTATTTACTGAAGAAATTAGGTGATTTGTCTGTAAAATTTCCCATGGTTTGGATTTTGCTATCTGCTTCCATCTGATGTTAACACGTTTCTCTGTCTTGTGTATTTCATGTAAATTGGTAGTTATATCTACAGGCTGGATTAGATCTGACTTTAGGTTTGTTTTGAGATGGGGACATCTTTTTTTCATAAATATTATTGTGAGCCTTCACTAGGAGGCATATAATATCTTATTGTCCATCTGTCTATCTTTTTTGTGGTGGTAACACTATTGATGATCATTGCCTAGGTCTATTATTTAGGGATTGCAAATTAGTGATATTCCATAATTCATTTATTAGCTGAAGTGTATCTATAAGAACAAATTTTTTTTATCATCAATTATTTGATTATCTTGAGGTACAATTTGATTAGGAAAACAAGATAAATACTTGCTTCTCTTTTTTAATTTACCAGTTTTCAAAACAATGAATTGGTTTCTTATCATTCTCCAAAAGTGACCAATTAGATTTGTTTTTTAGTATAATTAAGAAAGATTTGAACAAATTTATGTGTTTCAGTCCATGGTAGTTATCCTTATAGATGTTTAAATTGTCTTATTTGACTAAGGGGACACACTTCACATTGTCTTCTGAGTTCTTTTACAGGATCCTAATAGTCTTTCAATGGCTTTCTTTCCCTAGACCTAGAATCTGCCATCTTTCTAATACTACTCATTTCTTTAAGAAACTATTTTTGTTTTGGATATATTTAATTATTTTTTATTGCTACACAGTCCACCAAAGTTTTTTTCCATTAGTAGGTTTTACAAAGCTATTTTAATGGTTCCCTTAATTTATGAACAGATTGGAAAAAGAAGACCCTTTAGAAATAGAATTTTTATTTTTTATTCGTATGGTACAGTGTGTTTTACTGATTAGGTAAGTCAGTAGACTTTGAAAATTTACTTGACCAAATATAAGAAAACTATGTCAGCATCATGGACTGGTGCAGGGAGATTCAGCAGTTGCTAATCTTTTATGTAAGTCAGACATGAGTGTTGCTTTGGTGAGAGGATTACACTAAGCACTGTGTTAAGGCTAGTTTGTTCTCCAGTGGACATATCAAAAGGTGACAAGTGAAACTCTTAATTGGCATGGTTCCCTTGTCCTGGTAATTAGAACTAATATATCTGAGGAACTTATCTCCAACATTTGGGAGGGCATAGGGGCATTTTTAGTTAAAAAAAAATGACAAGCTCATTGTTACAGATGATGTTTTAGTTATTTATTGTTACGTAACAAACTACATCAAAATTTAGAAGCTTAAAACAATCATTTTATTTTGCTTGCAGTTTTGTGCCTTAGGAATTTGGGAAGAGTTTGCCTGGGTGATTTGTCTCTTATGTGGCACTAGCAGGATTGTTTCAGTTAAAGGATCCATTTATAAATGGTTTCTTTACTCACTTTTCTGGTATCATGGGGTTCCTTAGCTCTTCACCCCCAACTCCCAACCCCCAACCTGGTGGCTTGTTTTCTAGGGCATCACCACATGGCTGTGGCTTCTCAGGATGGTCCCATTTCTTTCTTTCTTTCTTTTTTTTTTTTTTTTTTGAGACAGCGTCTTACTCTGTCGCCCAGGCTGGAGTGCAGTGGCGCAATCTCAGCTCACCACAGCCTCGCCTCCCAGGTTCAAGCGACTTTCCTGCCTCAGCCTTCCGAGTAGCTGAGATTACAAGCGTGCACCATCACACCGGCTAATTTTTGTATTTTGAGTAGAGGTGGGGTTTCACCATGTTGGCAAGGCTGGTCTCAAACTCCTAACCTCAGGTGATCCACCTGCCTCGACCTCCCAAAGTGCTGGGATTACAGATGTGAGCCATTGCGCCCGGCCAGATGGTCCCATTTCTTACATGGTGGCTAGCTTTCAAGAGACAGGAAATGGAAGCTACCAGGCTGGTTAAGGGCTGTCCTCAGAGCTGGCACAGTGTCACTTTGCCCTATTCTGTTGATGAAAGCAGTTAAGGGGAAAATGGACTCTACCTCTTGATGGCGGAGTAGCAAGGTCACATTGCCTTCATCAGTGTGAAAGGTTTTCTTCACATTGAAGAAAAGCAGGGATGGATGATATTGTTGTGCCTATTGTTGGAAAATACAATCTCCCACAGACCTTACCTCTATTCTTCCTGTAATCTGTGTACCCCAATCATACTAAACTGCCTCTCTCTTTGCCTCATAAACCTTGATAATTTCTTAGGGCTTTGTCAGGCCAATTAAAAAATGCTCTATTAATGTTTAAATGGCATTATAGGGATAGAAATAGACAAAGAAGCAAAAACATTTACTTCAGCCTAGTTGTTTTATTCTGTCATTTAATAAGGTTTTTTTGTGAGGTAAAACATGAAGCTGCCTCTGCCAGTCCTTAGTTAGAAAGGAATCTGTTTGGTACTGTGTATGAGTTTTTAAAGCTACACTAGGTTTTATTTAATGGGCAAAATATAAAGAATCATAAGTATATCAATCAAGGCCCATGAAGGAACAATTTATTTAACTGAATGCTTCTGCGACTTTTTTTTTTTTTTTGAGACAGAGTCTCACACTGTCGCTCAGGCTGGAGTGCAATGGCACGATCTCTGCTCACTGCAATCTCCGCCTCCCAAGTTCGAGCGATTCTCCTGCCTCAGCCTCCTGAGTAGCTGGGATTATAGGCATGCACCACCACGCCTGACTAATTTTTGTATTTTTAGTAGAGACAGGGTTTCTCTATGTTGGTCAGGCTGGTCTCAAACTTCTGACCTCGTGATCCGCCCGCCTCGGCCTCCCAAAGTGCTGGGGTTACAGGTGTGAGCCACCACACCTGGCCACTTCTGGAACTTTTTAAAAATCTTGAACTTATCCTGTAGTTTCATGTAGTATTCCTTTCCCATCACCAAATGACAATAAAGCAGGATCAGCTGGGTGCCGTGGCTCACGCCTGGAATCCCAGCATTTTGGGAGGCAGAGGTGGGCAGATCACCTGAGATCAGGAGTTTGAGACCAGCCTGGCCAACATGGTGAGACCCCATCTCTACTAAAAATACATAAATTAGCCAGGCGTGGTGGCGCACACCTGTAATCCCAGCTACTGGGGAGGCTGAGGCAGGAGAATTGCTTGAACCTGGGAGGCCGAGGTTGCAGTGAGCCAAGATCATGTCACTGCACTCCAGCCCTGGAGACAGTGTGAGACTACCAACTGAAAACATTAAAAATAAATAAATAAAAATAAAGAAGGATTATGGCTCACATGTGCAAAGTAATAAGTATAGGATTATATTTATAAGTTAGCACTTTGCCAAATGCTATGGGGAACACAAGGAAATAGAATAGAACAAATGGCCATCTCTTCCAAGAAGCTTAGTTTCTCTGTAACAGGATAGGATATTGACAATGGAAAGTTAATCAACATGACAGTTTAAAAACAAGGTATTTCATGGACAGGTCTTTAATTTGAAAAATACAAGGTAATAATACAAGTGATATCTGAGCCCTGGCCCGGTACCTGAGGTATGGCCCAGTACAGTGATTAATTGAATGATTAAACAAATAATTACTGTAGAAATTCAGAAGATAAATTAACCTAGATGTAGTAATCAGTGATGATCAAGTGGAGAAAGAGATCGAACATGGAACTGGGGCGTCTTGAGCTGGTTAGGATTTAGGACCCTGTGCCTATGATGACTTCCTACATTATATCACATCCTGGATGTTGGATAATGTGATAAGGAGACAACCTAGTTTCAGGAAATGGAAAATAATTGCTGTATCTAGCTTGAAGTATCTACCCCCACAACCCAGCTTTCAGAGCCTACAGGTGCAGTTGCCACTGACTCTTCAAAACTTGCTTATGATACTCAGACCAGCATCCTCATATTCCCCAGTTAAGCTCACATATTTTATCAGAGAGAATAGTGTTTGTTGAACTTGCTTAAATTGATTTTTTTTTTACTCGTATATGAATAAATAGATGTATAGTGAATTCTGGGATAGTTTGGTACTGGAGTTCTCTGCCTGCTCTGTGGACCCTGTTAGGTACCCCTGAGAAAAGGATAAGTGGTGGTGAGAGGGCTGGGTGATTTTGTAGTGTTTTTTGTTTTTTTCGTCTTTGAGATGGAGTCTCTCTCTGTCACCCAGGTTGGAATGCAGTGGCAGGATCTTGGCTTACTACTGCCTCTGCCTCCTGGGTTCAAGCAATTCTCCTGCCTCAGCCTCCTGAGTAGCTGGGATTACAGGCATGTGCCACCAGCTAATTTTTGTATTTTTTAGTAGAGATGGGATTTCACCATGTTGGCCAGGCTGGTCTCAAACTCCTGACCTCAAGTGAGCCTCCCGCCTCAGCCTCCCAAAGTGCTAGGATTACAGGAGTGAGCCACTGCACTCAGCCAGGATTTCATAGTTTAAAAAGTCTTCCTTAAAATTAAAACAACAAATCTGGTTGTTGAGTGGCATTTGTAGGAAGAGATTCTTTCAAATACTGTATTGTTGGTGACATTTCTGATGCTGGCTGTCAACCAAATTTTAAAATTGTTTGTGGGTGGAATAATTTCATTACTTTTTTGTAGATAAACCTGTGGGGAAAGGTTTTGATGTTATTTTCAGGCATATGTTTTCTTGGCATATACATAGTTAATTTAACAATATTGAAATATTTTATAAAACAGATTGTAAAATTATACATTTTCTAAATATAACAGATCAATTACTTTCAAGTTAGAATCTTCTAGTAATTTTGAGTGTGTGTGTTCTTATTTTCTGTGCAGTTGAGAAAGATTGGGGGTGGGGGCTTTGGAGAAATTTACGATGCCTTGGACATGCTCACCAGGGAGAATGTTGCACTGAAGGTGGAATCAGCTCAACAACCAAAACAAGTTCTGAAAATGGAGGTTGCTGTTTTGAAAAAGCTGCAAGGTAAGTCCTTTGTAGAATATACAATTTATGATTTGTATGATAATTTATAATTTATTTGTATCTTCCTGAACCTTAATTACATTCTTTAAGTACTAATTGAATGTACTGGTGTCAGCCGGGTATAAATATGCTGAGCATTTTTCTCTTGGAAATTTTATAACTAGTTAGTAGTAGTAGAAATATGTAATTACTTAGAATAATTGGGCTTTGGGAGTTCCTTTTCATGGAGTAAGGATGAGAGAGTGTGAATTAGCAGAATTTTTACTGCTTTGGAAAGTATTGTCGTAAGTCTGCTATTTGCCTTTCTTTTTTAAACTACCAATAACAAATGCCTCTGAGTTGTCTCTACTCATGTCTTTGGATGTTAAATGTGTTTTAATCACAGTAAGGAAGCTGCCTTCAAATCACACTGCAGGATGGATTAAAAATAATACTGTTGATTATGTGTTGATTCATATTAACTTCAGTTTCAGAGAGTAACTGTTTCTGGCCCTGTTGTCATTTTTGAAGTCCATTTTACTACTTGGGCCCCATTTGTTTTTATTATAAAAATGAATAATTTTTTTTCTAACATGAATCCAGTGGTATAAAACCCTGAATACATTGCTAGTTTGTGTTCACCTTTGTATTCTCAGCTTAATGACATACTGTCTGGTATTACTTATATTTAAATGTTTGATCTGAAACAAAATTAAATAGGGATGATCATTTTCCTTTGCCCCAGACATATCCAAGTTTCTCTACCAGTTGACTCATTTGATTAGAGAATGATGCTAGTAAAATTATAGTTCTGGTTTTATAGTCATTTTTAGCTCAAACTTAGCTTCTCCACAACATGGTAAATCAGGAAAACAGTGGATAGATTAGCACCCATTGTCAATACTAGAAAAATAAATAATTGGAGAAGAAAGAATAGGTAAAAGGATGGCTCTCTCTTTTTCTGACCTTTTCTATTTTCTCCCCATTTCTCTTGAGTTGTTGTTCTCAACTCAATGGTGTAGAGGCTGCACACAGGTACAGCCAGACCTACGTCTTCCTGGGTTGCACAGATCCCAGGATACCTGTGTTACTCTCAGCCAAGCCCATGAAGGGTATGTCAGCATCAGCTTGGTGTGGATAGTGCCACTTCACCTTTCTCCTACTTGGCCCCAAGGAGATGCTTCCAGGTGAGGCAGGATACAGCTTTGCTGCCCCTTCAGGAGGTTCTCCTGCTTAATTTGACTGTGGTTTACTCAGGATTCTATTTTATAAAGCTTGAAGATCAGTTTAGTACCTTTTATGAATGAGTTAGAGACCCTTGGATGCTAGCTCTCTCCTTTTCTTGTATTTTATTTTTTACGTTATTAACTAAAATATTTTTCCTATCTGCTTATAAACGCATGACATCTCATTCTTAAGAACCCTTCACTTTCCAAAAATAAATTGATTTTTAATCTTCTGGTCCCTATTTCAGTGAGGCAGTCCTTGACTCTCTTCTCTTGGCTTCCTAACTTATGCCTTCTGCATACTTATTCCTCACAACTTCATTTTGTTGAGGGTGCTTTGTAATCTGGACCATTCTGATAACATTTTTATGGGGGTGAGCCGCTCTTGCTGTCATGTTGGCATAATGACTTCTTACTGAATGATCCCAATGAAAAGGCTGAGTGTAAGGAAAAGGTATTTAACCAGAGGCTAACCCTTTATAGGATTAGTTAATTTTTAAATTGATGTTCAATTTTTGATAGCTGGGATACGGGTTTTTTTTTTTTTTTTGAGTCAGAGTCTCGCTCTGTCACCAGGCTGGAGTGCAGTGGCACGATCTCAGCTCACTGCAACCTCTGCCTCTGGGGTTCAAGCGATTCTCCTGCCTCAGCCTCCCTAGTAGCTCCGACTGCAGGCACACGCCTCCACACCCAGCTAGTTTTTGTATTTTTAGTAGAGACGGGGTTTCACCATGTTGGCCAGGGTGGTCTCAATCTTTTGACCTCATGATCTGCCCACCTCAGTCTCCCAAAGTGCTGGGATTACAGACATGAGCCACTGTGCCTGGCCGGGATTTTTTTTTTTTTTTTTAACAAGATAAAAAGATATTTTATGATGAATTAGCCCGACCCCTAATTCTGTTCCTTTTAATCAATTCCTCTTCTCAAAATTCATATACTGCCTGCTCTCACATTCCCTCAGTTCTCAATTTTCTTTCTCACAGTCTTTTCTGTACTTAACAACCCTAGATTTTCTCAGTTCAGGCAAAACTCTCATTAATAGTATGTTCCTTTCTCTTTGACCCTAAAGTGTGAAGGCCTTAGCATTTCACCCTATATTTTCTTCTGAGTGACCTTCCCCCATGCTGCTGTATCAGATTACTGTCTTTTCAAAGCTTTCTGAAATATTCTGGATGTAACCTGCAATTCTCCAATGAATCAAGCTAGACTCTTGAATTTTTTTTTTTTTTAGTTGGAGTCTTGCTCCTATTGCCCAGGCTGGAGCGCAGTGGCACGATATCAGTTCACTGCAACCTCTGCCTCCCAGGTTCAAGCGATTCTCCTGCCTCAGACTCCCAAGTAGCTGGGACTACAGGTGGGTGCCACCACACCCAGCTGATTTTTTGTAGTTTTAGTAGAGATGGGGTTTCACCATGTTGGCCAGGCAGCTAACTCCAGACTTCAGACAATCCTCCCATCTTGGCTTCCCAAAGTGTTGGGATTACAGGCATGAGCCACCGCACCTGGCCAAGACTCTTGAATTTTACTTGGTTTTTACAAATGTATTTTAATGCTTATCTACTTATAAACTAAATTATTTATTAGCCTATTAGGTAGTACTTCTATACCTATTATTATTATTATTCTCTAAAGTGTTCCTAATAAGTAGAGCCATAAAACTTATTAAGCCTATCCTTTTATTCACAGTATTGTTCAGAGATACATCTCTGTATAAACATTTATGTGTGTCTCTTCCCCCTCTCTGTTTGCAGCTGTATTATCTTCATCCTGTTTTTCAGTTTATTTGCTTTGAAACTGTGCAAAGGTGGTCATTGCCATTCTAATCTGTTAGATTCCTTTTTCTTCCACTTTAAATGATTATTTTATAATGATATCCTACCTGTCTTCACTTCTCCATTTTCTTTTTTTATTAAAAATTTTTTTTGTTGTTTTTTTCCTCAGTTTTCATGATCTCTTGTGCTGTATCTCAACACACCAATTTTTGTTGTTGTTGTTGTTGTTGTGTTGTATTTTCTTTTTAATAAGTATAGTTTAGGCCAGGCGTGGTGGCTCATGCCTGTAAACCCACCACTTTGGGAGGCCAGGGTGGGTGGATCGCCTGAGGTCGGGAATTTGAGACCAACCTGGGCGACATGGTAAAACCCCATCTCTACTAAAAAATTCAAAATTTAGCCAAGCGTGGTGGCGTGTGCCTGTCATCTCAGCTACTCTGGAGGCTGAGGTATAAGAATCGCTTGAGCCCAGTAGGCGGAGGTCGCAGTGAGCCAAGAAGGTGCCATTGCACTCTAGCCTGGGCGACAGAACCAGACCCTGTCTCAAATAAAAAAGTAGAGATTTACAGTGCCACTGTAAGAGAAAAAAAACTTCTGTCCTTTGATTTCAAATCTGATCATTAGTCATTTCTATAGTGAAATGATGGTTCCTCAGGAACCATCAGTACTTCTAAAAAAGTTAGATTTCCATTCTAGTCTTAATAGAATTTGGTACACGTCTAGAATCCTGAAGTGAGACAGGCAGATCATTTATTTATTTATTTATTTATCTGTCGCCCAGGCTGGAGTGCAGTGGCCCAAACACAGCTCACTGCAGCTTCGATCTTGTGGCTCAACCAGTCCTCTGGCCTCAGCCTCCAGAGTAGCTGGGACCGCAGGTGTGTGCCACCACACTCGGCTAATTTTTTTTTTTTTTGTAGAGACATAGAGTCTAGCTATGTTGCCCAGGCTGATCTCAAATTCCTGGGCTCAAGCAGTCGTCTTGCCTCGGCCTCCCAGAATGTTGGAATTAAAGATGTGAACCACCACACCCAGCCTGAGACAGGCAAATATTAAATTTTCTTTTTTCTCTAATTTTTAAAATACTTTTTAAAAAAGACAGTTTTAGGTTCACAGCAAAATTGAGAGGAAAGTATAGAGGTATCCTACATATTGCCTGCCCTCTCACATGTATGTACTCCCTCAGTATCATCATCCCCCACAGCTGTACATTTGTTACAATTGATGAACCTACATTGATACGTCATTATCACCGAGATCCCATAGTTTTACAATAGGATTCACTCTTATTGAACATTCTGTGGGTCTGGATGAATGTGTAATGACATATATCCACCATTATGTGTATACAGGTGCTCCTCAACTTATGATGGGGTTATGTTCTGGTAAACCCGTTTAAGTTGAAAAATTGTAAGTTGAACCATTGTATGTCAGGAACCATCTCTCTCTCTTTTCACTGCCCTAAAAATCCTGTGTGTACTCTCTGTTTCCCTGCCTCCTAAACTCTGGTGATGACTAATCTTTTTACTTTCTCTTTAATTTTGCCTTCTCCAGATGTCATATATTTAGAGTCATACATTTATTGGCTTCTTTCATTTAGTAATGCGCACTTAAGTTTCCTCCACATCTTTTCATGGCTTGATAGGTCATTTTTTTTAAACATTTAATAATATTCCATTGTCTAGAGGTACCACAGTTCATTTACCCATTCACCTAATGAGAGATATCTTGGTTGCTCTGCAGATTTTTGTGTGGGAAAAGTTTTCTACTTGTTTGGGGAAATACCAAAGAGCATTGTTGCTGGATTTGATAATAAGAGCGTGTTTAGTTTTATAAGAAACTGCCAAATTTTCTTCCAAAGTGGCTGTATCATTTTGCATTCTCATCAGCAGTGAATGAGAGTTCCACATGCTCACCAGCATTTGGTGTTGTCAGTGTTCTGGATTTTGGTCATCTAACAGGTGTGTAGTGACATCTCATTGTCATTAATTTGCGTTTCTCTAATGATGTGTGATGTGGAGCA